TTGTTGTTCTACAGAGCGGGAGCGCAGCAGCTGGAACCGTCTGTGCAGTGCAAGCGTTAGATAAACCACAAAAGTTATTTCACAGAGTCCCAGCATGGTGGGGGCTGGCAGGGACCTCTGTGGGTCACCCAGCCCAACCCCCTGCCCAAGCAGGGTCACCCACAGCAGGCTGCACAGCACCGCGGCCAGGCGGGGCTGGAATATCTCCAGAGAAGGAGACTCCACAGCCTCCCTGGGCAGCCTGGGCCAGGGCTCCGTCACCCTCAGAGGGAAGAAGTTCTTCCTCTGCTTCAGCTGGAGCTTCCTCTGCTTCAGTTTGTGCCCATTGCCCCTTGTCCTGTCACTGGGCACCACTGAAAAGAGTCTGGCCCTGTCCTCCTGACACCCACCCTGCAGATATTTAGAGGCATTTCTAAGGTCCCCTCTCAGCCTTCTCTTCTCCAGGCTGAACAAGCCCAGCTCCCTCAGCCTCTCCTCATAGGAGAGATGCTCCAGTCCCCTCATCATCCTCGTAATCATAACCCTACCCTGAAGGTGTACCAGCCGGGGGGTTTGGGGGCACCGGGGGCAGGAGGCTGCCCCGTAGAGCCTGGCTGCACCTCGGAGGCACCGAGCCCTCAGGCAAGGCCAAAGATAGTGCTGGCCACCCGCCATCCCACCGCCACGTGGCAAGGGACAGCGTGTCTCTGACAGCTGTGGCCTTGGGCATCCCTTCAGAGAGGTCAGACAGACCCTGGGCACAGCCGAGCATGAGAAAATCCTCTCTGGTAAATGCCGTGGACAGGTGGAACCCGTTTGCTGGAAACTTAGGGCAAAATCTCGTCTGGTTTCCTGGCTGGAGCTGCCAGGAGGGACATCCCGGCTGCAAACGCAGAGGCTGGTACCCTGAGCACGTTGTGTGGCTCTTCTTAGGTCCCCTCTTCTTGAGGGGACCTAATATATGCTTACAAATATCTGCAGGGTGGGTGTCAGGAGGATGGGGCCAAGCTCTTTTCAGTGGTGTCCAGTGACAGGACAAGGGTCAATGGGCACAAACTGAAGCAGAGGAAGCTCCAGCTGAAGATGAGGAAGAACTTCTTCCCTCTGAGGGTGACGGAGCCCTGGCCCAGTGGGCTGGGTGACCCACAGAGGTGCCTGCCAACCCCTGCCATTCTGTGATTCTGTGATTCAGCATCCTTCCTGCTGGCATCCCTCGCCCAGGCTGGGACCAGCCTCCGGAGGGTATAAAAACCCACGTGTGGGCCAGCCCCAGCTGGCTGCCACCCCGTGTCCTGTCGTCACAGCCATGGGACTTCTGGGACCCAGCCAGGAGAGGCACGAGCAACTCGTCCCGTGGGTGGGGATGCTCTGTGCCTGTTTCTGATTTTTATTTTGTCTGTCGCAGGCATCCCATTTCCTCTGGGCATGCTGGGGCCTGATCCAGGATAAATACTCTACCATAGACTTTAACTTCTTAAGGTGAGTTGGCTGGGGGGCATTCCCTTCCAGCGCAGTTCAGCATTAAATGCTTGGAGCAGGAGGATCCCGATGATCCCTCGATGCAGGAGGGATCCTCTGAGGCCAGGGGACACGGGGCTGGGGCACAAGTGTCTCATGTCCGTCCGTCTCTCCTCTCTTGGCAGATATGCAAAGCTAAGGTTTAAACAGTACTTCAAGATGAAGCCGGTGGTCACAGCCCTGCAGATCTCTAAATAGCATCTCTGGCCCGTGAGACCCTGAGCTATTTTTGTCCTTGCTGCATCCACAGCCCTCGCATCCCCCTCACCCCTTGCCCACCCCAGCCGGGGGTGAGGGCAGGTCCTGATGGTGGGAAGGGGGAGAGGAGCTCTGACCCAGCCACCGATTAAAGGAGACCCCGGACATACCTGAGACTGGACCATGGGATGCTAGAGAGGACCGTGGCCTCGGAGAGGCCCCTGCCTACGCAAGGAAGCCTTATCATCGCCTTAACGCCGAGCCCCGGCTCGGCCCTGGTGCCCGGCAGGTCTGTGCTTTGCTGGCACTACTGCTGCTTGGCCTGGCACCCGGTTTGCTCCCTCTGTGCTGTCCCCGAGGGGGGAAGTGGGTCCCCCCATCTGTTCAGAAGCCCCCCGAGCTGCCCAGTTGCTTTAGCTGCCCAACGCACGTGCTGTGCCCATCGCCTTTGCTGCTCCCTCCGTCCCCTGTTGCCCTCTTGGTGCTGCTTGGGCTCCCACCCCCAAACCAGCACTTTTGGTGGGTCCGTATGGATCCTGGGCTTGGGGCTTTCTGAGCATGGGAGCCTTGTCTGTGAGAGGTGGCTGCTGCTGCACTCTAGCTTGGATGGTGCAAGGCAGCAATGGCCATGAGCCACATGGGCTTGGGACCAGTGTGTTTTTGCTGGTGGTCACTGGGCACCTGCACCTCCTGCGATGTGCTCAGCCTGTGGCTGGCTCTGCTTTCCCCCATGGTCACGGTCCCTCGGGCTCCCGTTAGCTCCCTGCTCCCGTCGTGGCTTCCCTCATCGCATCCCACGCTGCGGGAGCAAGGGGCTCTCTGCTTTGCCTCCCCCTTCTCCCCCAGGGCTGGGGGTCGGTCCTGCCCCTTGCACGGGCACCATCCCTGTGCTCCTCTCGAGGCTGTGTCCCCGCGTGGGACCCCCTGGCAGGAGGGGAACGGAGCTGACCTGCTCCATGAGCCGGGCACAGCTTCATCCCCGGGCAGCAGCCCCCCGCCACAGGCTCGGTGATCCTGGCCTGCTGAGCACTGCCCAGCTCCTGGCAGTGG